TTGGTGGGACGGGGATTCGAACCCGCGACCCTCAGATTGCGAGTCGAGTGCCATAACCACCTTGCCATGACGGGCCTTACGTGGAGGATATGAAGCGAAATAATATTTTTTCATGTTTTTATATGGAGTTGAATAACCAAAAATCATAAATTACTACATCGATACCATAGAATTCCTTTATAATTTGTCAAGTTTAGTAACTAAGCTGTATTTCAGTCTAAAAAGATATAAAATTTCGAGCAGACTAAAGACACAACCTACCTCCTTGAAATGATGGTTCGAAAGAACGAGATGGTGTCCTAACACGGGAAAATGGCTGAGAAAGCCACTATGAGGACATTCTGAGCTTTCGACTGGTTATTCGCATGTCATATATTGAAGTAAGTGTATATAAGGGACCGTTTCCGAAAATGGAAAGAGGTGAGCGGGGTCACTGTGTTTGTTTCAATACATGAGTGATATCTCAGCAAATAGAAAAGATATGAGGTTCTTATTTTATATTCTAGCTTTTTAATATCAATAATTTGAGTTCCTAATTTGTACGAAACTATATACTTAGCATTTTGACATCACACACATCTAATTTCAACCAGTGCTGCATTCAACATACCACGTGACACACAAAAATCTATGTTTAACTCTGTTTTTTTATATTTACTTTTAAATTAAGAAATTAAGTCATGTATAATACTCAAACTTGAATTATAATCTACAGTTTGATACCAAACTTACTGACATAAATTCAATAAAATTTTGAATGCGAGTCAACAAACGCGATGACATGGCCTTTGACCCGTGACCCGTCTGGAGATGGTATGTATTTCCCAGTCATTTCAACTGAAGGTGAAAGTCTAAAGTAAGATGGAACTAGTGAAAACAAGACCTTGTTCGACTTCTTAATTATAATTTGCGAACACAAGATCACTGCTGTTATCGTGATATTAAACAGATGAAAGAATCCAAGGAGAGATGTATCGCATATTAATTCTTGCATATTTTATGATAAAAAAAACAACAAAAGACGGAAAAAGGTTGCAAACGTAGTTCAGCAAAACTTCAGTATCGGTAAAACCTGGATATTTATTTGAATTTGTATTCATCATGATTTATAGATGTACGATTTTGTGTTTTTGTTTGTATGATATTAAGTATAAAGCTGCATAGCGGGCTATCTGTACTGTGCCCAACACAGGTTTCGAAACCCGGTTTGTAGTGTTATAAGTCTTCTCAACCACGGGGAGACACAATTTTGTGATTACGATTTCCATTGGTTGTTATTCCATGACGCAAATTTTTATTGAAAAGCTTGCGAGTTGTGACCAGACTTTTGTTTTAAACCCTTTTTTTCTTTGTCTTTCATTTGGTTAACCTTTTATTACTATTTGGTAAAAAATAGTTCGCATCATCCCCCCCCCAGCGTAAAGTATTCTAAAAACAACAACAAAGTAATTAACAAAAATATAATAAATCACATTATTATACTTTTTGCTATATATACTTAACGATACATTTTTAATATTGTAATACGAAGACAAGCGAACAAATATTTAATTATTCTTGATGTTTATGGATGTAACATCCTGAAATAACGAATTTTTATACAATTTTCAAGTAGTATTATTCTCCTGGCTAAAATAAAATAAAACGTGAAGTCATATATGAATTCCGCTAATCTCTACTTTGATGAAAGTTTGGTTTTCTTATCTCTGCCTGCATGACACTTGTTAACCTTAGACGTGTAAATCTATTGACTTACAGTAGAAGTATTTTAAGAGAGTGGTTGCTTCATAGCGTACACTTTAATGACTTCTTAAAGTGAAATTTAGATTAACCAATGAACGGAATATTGTTGACCTTAGATACGTTTTCACTTTTCTTAACGTTGAGAAGGATTGATTTTTCTAAACATGTCGTCATAGGAAGAACAACTGACAGATCCAAAAAAGTTTTTGTGTTAGGATGAAAAACTCTATCTGCTGCAACCAAAATTTCAATTGATTTCGACGGTTTGCCGGAGTGCTCCTTCTATCTGTCTTTCAACTTGTTTGAAGTTCTAGGCAAATCTTTCTCTCTCTCTCTCTCAAAAATGTGCTACAAAGTAACTTCAGTGATGAAATGATTTGAGAATGCAGGCATGAGTTTCACATCACTAATTCTGTGCCATGCAAGAACGTACAAGTTGTAGATTGTAGCTCAATAAGCCTACAAATTTAATCGCTTTACTGGCGGGTAATTGTATTCGTCTCCAATGTTTTGTTTTTTATATAGTATTATGCGGCAATAATAGAAATAAACAAAAACAACAGAAATGTATCCCTGCTTCTTCCTTCTGAATCCGTCCTTGTGAAGGCACTATTGCATATCTCATAAAAATAAATATTTACATCTTTAGTGTCGGGTGTGGCTTGATGACTAAAACCTTCTTGAAAGTTTGAAAAACGATTTGAGCAGTATAAAAAACGTTAGTTACGCTAAAGTAGATAATGACAAATTATTGAATTAACAGTTTGTTAGTCAGTTTGTCTGTTTGTGAAGAAGTACTAGAGTTACGAGAAAGTGTTATATATATATAAGTATTATAAGCCCTCACAATTACCAGGGAGCCCTTCATAGATTATATCGTTCTTAGCAAGTAATTCAAACTGGTGTTTTAACGTCTGTTGTAAACGTATTCTTGTCAGTGAGTTAGTTAAGCCAACTTGTTGAATTTTTAGTCGAAGAAATAAAACGCTTTCGTTAACATTAAGTGGACTAAACTTTGCTATACCTTTTCACCGAATAAATTCAAAAGAGCCCATTTAACAATCGAAACGGTTACAATACTATATGTATTTATGAAACAGTCTATTCTTGTTATGGCTGCACATACGCACTAAAAATTCAAAAGTGGTATAATAGTAAGATTTTAAAGGTTTTCTAACATCAAGACAGCAGGCATCTGATTTTTTCATTCTAGCTACACCTGCATTGTTACATCAAAATGAAACAGAAATAAAATGCCAAGTAAATCTCTTGCCCATAATTGAGAACCTACAATGCTCAGCAATAAGACCGTTTTTAAATGGTCAATTTCAAAAACCCTCACGTGAAAACTATTGAGTTACTTCCGTACGTAAATATAAAAAATTACTGCACGTGAAAGGGTCATACATTCTTGTACAAAACCAAAGAAGCAAAAACAATGATTAGCAGTTAAATATTGCGAATATTCTTCTTTTTTTTATAATTAGGTATTTTTATGAAGATTTAGAAGTATTACAGTTAGTAAATAATGTCTTTCCTCCAAAATATGTTTTAATAGAAACGCTGTAATGAGCTCGAATGGGCTTGCGTTCTCACATCTAATTACGAATATGAAAATCTCAAACATAACTCCAAGTTAATTTCAATTAAGTACAAATTTCATAGAATATCGATTCTTCCTTTTGCCTACTAATTAAAACAAACCTATGCCCTAAATATAACCAATAAAAGTACCTACTAATTAAAACAAACCTATGCCCTAAATATAACCAATAAAGGTACCTAATCCTTGTTACAGTAGAAAGCAAAACGTACGGATGAAAAGTTATAATAAATACTTTTATTGGTTACTTTTAGGGCATAGGTTTGTTTTAATTAGTAGGTACTTTTATTGGTTACTTTTAGGGCATAGGTTTGTGTTAATTATTAAGTACCTTTATTGGTTACTTTTAGGGCATAGGTTTGTGTTAATTATTAAGTACCTTTATTGGTTACTTTTAAGGCATAGCTTTATGTTATTGGCTCACAACCCTTTTACATTATATTCGCTAGAGTGAGTATCAAATAACTTTGTTTTCATTTTTCAGAAAAACTTTCAAAACCCAGTTACCTTGTCAGAGCTTAACGATATAGATAACCAATATTACTAAGTTTTAGATGTTATTACAACTGCTGTAGAATGACATAGAAAGATTAGTGTTTCCATGGAAAAGTTATCATGAAATGAAGCTCATTAGCATCAAAGTATGGCCTTTTAAAATTAACATTCAAGTATGGCCTTTCAAAATTAACATTCAAGTATGGCCTTTTAACATTAACATTCAAGTATGGTCTTTTAACATTAACATTCAAGTGTGATAATGATTGGAGACGGCTTGAATGGGTAATGAAGAAAAACTTTAATATACCTTTTACTTTTACCTGATGATGACAAAACCTTGTCGAAACGTTGTACATTTGCTGTTATGTTAAACTTATATTAAAGTTTTTCTTCATTACCCATTCAAGCCGTCTCCAACCATTATTAGTCTCAAAGTGGGTTCCTCGTCATCGAATTTGAATTCAAATGTGATCATTTAACATTAACATTTAAGTAAGGCCTTGAAACATTAGCATTCAAGTGTGATCTTTAACATTAACATTCAAGTGTGACCTTTTAACATTAACATTCAAGTGTGACCTTTTAACATTAACATTCAAGTGTGACCTTTTAACATTAATATTCAAGCGTGACCTTTTGACATTAACATTCAAGTATGACCTTTTAACACTAACATTCAAGTGTGACCTTTTAACATTAACATTCAAGTGAGACCTTTTAACATTAACATTCAAGTGAGACCTTTTAACATTAACATTCAAGTGTGATCATTTAACATTAGCATTCAAGTATGGTCTTTTAACATTAACATTTAAGTATGTCTTTTTAACATTAACATTCAAGTGTGATTTTTTAACATTAACATTTAAGTATGGCCTTTTAACATTAACATTCAAGTGTGATTTTTTAACATTAACATTTAAGTATGGCCTTTTAACATTAACATTCAAGTGTGATCTTTTAACATTAACATTTAAGTATGGCCTTTTAACATTAACATTCAAGTGTGGCCTTTTTTAAAGGACGCGAATAGTGAATCTTCCTTTTTTTTATCATTATACGTATTGATTATTAATGAAAGTGTTACAACCATAGAGAAATTAACTGTCTCTTCATTCGTTTATCAGTACTTAATGATTGTTATTGAAGTTATTACCTTCATAAATGTGAGATCTGTTTGTGCAGCTGCTAACGGTGTAGAACATGATATCCGGGTTATTACAGTCAGAAGCAACCTTAGCACACAGTCCTGTGTCGCCAGGAACCACACCTGTATAATCACCGGTGATTGGACAAGACGTTACTTCCTTCACGTCAAGCTCTGGCGGAGACAGATACAAATACAGATATTTAAATATACGAATATCTGAATAACAAAACACTATCATAGCTCATAATAATGGTGTTTTTTCCTATACAAACTCTTAGTGTACGGTATCGTGTTCAGTCTTTATGCATCCTCGTGTGGATCATGATATGTTATACAAAAACGTCTTTTCTTAGTTTATTCTTGAGCACAATGCTACCCAATGGGATATCTGTGATGTGCCCACCATGGGCGTCTTCAAGGGGCAACTTGCACCCGTGTAAAATGAGAAACATATTTCCTTTTTTATTCGTTCAGTATATATACATTATGTTGATTTAGATTTTGCCTCCCGGAGAAATTTCTGTGGACGCCCATGATTCCCACGACGGGTATCGAAACCCGATTTTTAGATTTATAAGCCCTCAGACTTAATTCTCAGCCACTGGGGGTGTACAACAGGGTCAGGTAGATAATTTGTTGATTATTTAAATTTTTATTTAAATAGTATGAATATATATTAGTAAAGTAAAACAAAAATCCTGAATTTTATTTCGTTTTTTTTTTTTCAATTACAAAATACAGTAAGAAACAGCATGTGTAGCTACGAAAGTAAAAACATTTTCTGTGGTTTGTTTTTGCTGTGTTTTAAAACAATGGCGAAAACAAAATATAGGACTAATAAGATAATTAAGAAAATTACAGCTATAGTCAACAATATGGCCTGCTGATTAGGGCGCTCGACACGCAATTTGCGGGTCGTGGGATTGAACCCCTTCGCCAAACGTTCTCGACTCTTCAACCGTGAGAATCTTATATATATATAATATGACGATAAATCCCACTTTTCGTTGATAAAGAATAGCCCAAGAGTAGCGGTGGGTAGCGTTCACTAATTGCCTTCCCTTCCCTCTAGACTTTCACTTGAAAATTATGAACGACTAATGCACATATCGTCCCAGTAGCTTTGCACGAAATTCATCAAACAACAGCAACAAATCTAGTCTATTACTTTAAAATTCGGGGCCTGGCATGACCTAGTGGTTAGAGTACTCGACTCGAAATCTGCGGGTCGTAGGTTTGAATCCCGTCATAGAGCAAGTTCGCCCTTTCTGAAGAGGGGCCTTGTAATGCGACGGTCAATTTCACTTTTCTTTGGTAAAGAGTAGCCCAAGAGTTGGGGGTGGATGGTGTTGACTAGCTGCCTTCCCACTAGTAAATCCTTTCTAAATTAGGGATGACTAGCGCAGATGCGAAATTCAAAAGAAGTAAAAATCAAAAATGATGTGTATTTTGTTTTGAGAAAAATAAACAATAAAAGGTGCATTTAAGTCTTCATAACTCAATTCAATCTTCTTAACATAAAGTGTTAAGAGACAGAAATCCTTACTTCCTTGGGTTGTCCATTGTTTCGTCTGAAACTGTTGCTCGTTACAGAGGTCATCAGAAGCACGGTCACTGGATGTAGTTCCATATTGCACTTCTAAGATGTTGTGGCTACGCTTCTGCAGCCAGACACAATTGTAGGAAGATTCTCCACTAATCAAACATAGAAGACTAAAACGTTTAACGAAGGGAAGAGAATGGTAAAGCTCAATGACATACTAAATACAGTAAAATCTTCTTAAGAACACTTGATTCAACAATACATTTCTTGTCTAATAAGTATATCAATCCATTTCATAGTCGCAGACAGATAAGTTGGTCAATAATGCTATAGTTACTTGGAACAACTATGTACGTGAATGTTATGGTAAACTTACCACTGTGTGACTGTGTATACAAGGAATCGATCGTAAGTCGTCTTATTTTCTGTTTTAACACAATTCGTGGTGATCGTCCGAAAGTTAACACCATCTCTGAAGACAAATGTTTTACCCTTCACATCAAGGTGTTCCCATTTTTCCTGGCTCCATTCAGGAAATTTACACTTTGCCTGTTCAACACTGGGTGGCAAGTTCTGCTCACGAACTACAAATGACGTGAAATAACTTGTTAGGTTAAGATGATTCAGATAAAGTTGAAAAGCTAATGTATGCAGTTATCGAAACCACGCATGACTTGTGTTTGTAAAAATGAAACATCAACAAAAGCAAACAAGACAAAAAGTTGAATGAGCGCTATTAGTGGAAAACGCTGTAAGTCCAAAAAGTCTAGAATATTCTCCCTTTACTGTGTGTGTGCTATTCCAAGGTTCAGAATGAGCCAAGCACATTGTTACTTGATCTCTGAAATAACGAGAGCCTTGCGAATCTAGTATTTGGAAGGATATGTGTAGTGATTTGTTACAGGTGAAATAAAAGAGGCAAGACTCGTTGTGGAGATAAACAAAAATGATTTGTCTGCAATTAAAAAGGTTGAAGGAAACATTGATTATCATCTATTTGGACTATTGCGTTGCTGGAATGAGGATAAAATGAATTGACCGAGGTTAAAAGAAATGATTAGCTAAAATATATTTAAAACATAAAGTATATTAAAATAAATTTTATCTTCAGAAATTGGATTGTATTCGAAAGTAACTGAAGGACTGTCGTAGAATTTAATAGATAAATTATAAATACATAAGATCAGCAGATATTAGAAGATATGGAATACAAAGACGAAACTTCTATCACAGTCTTGACCCTTTCAAGATAAAACCTAAACTGATTGAAAACGTCAAACTGCTCTTGCATCCACATTATTTAACTGAACAATCGCAAAATTAGACTTCAAGTATCCAGAGGCATCTTTGCTTTATGTGGCAGCCATTAACTAGTCCCACATACACCAGTGATGTAGTATACAACTATCCCACAAAACAGTAGATAGTCTTCTTGACAAAATCCTACCACAGATAGTAACGCCTACGGTTGAATTAGCACACGACCTCAACCAAATTGAACATGTTTTGAACTACAACTTTACAAAAATTTAAAAGTTTGTATGATATGAAATATATGCTACAGGAAGAGAAGATAAATAGTTTCTATATACTACAGCTGATTAGTGTCTGGCGAAAAGCTTCACCAGATATTTCCTTTGCAACATCTCAACCAAAAATTGGTCCAGTTATGAACGCTATTTTCAAGTTTTGAACAACTCGACTTTCAAGATCTACATATCTACATGTGCCGATGTTTCAGTTTATCAACGTTATATTTTGAAATCTGTGCAATAACTCAGCTAACAGATGTTTGCGCATATAAAAGCTATCTTCAAGTTTTGTACAGCTAAAAAAAAAAAAAAAAAATCAAGTTTTTATTTTACTTATTAAAATGTTTTATTGCCAAAAATACACTTGATTTTAATCTTTGAAATTATTAATGATAAATGTTACAGCGACGTATAAGTAAAATAATAATAGGATAACAGCAAAAGTGCCTTTAAACTTCGTGTTAATTCCTTTCAAAGCGAACTGATTAATTAGTTTTATTTCTAAAGAAAGTTTTGACCTGCCGAAAAGTTCGTTCTAAATTGTAAAGTAATTTTTCAAATACTGAGCTTACCTGGCGAGAGCACGAGCGACTCGTATCCTTCTGCTGAACTATTTAGCTGTGTAATACAAGCTGAATCTGCAGACAAGGAGACAAAAATCTGGCCTGTCTTTGAATCTTGACGGTATAACTGTGAATAAAAAACGTTGAGAAGCACATATATAGTTCGAAGATAGTTAAATTTAAACCCAGTGATTTTAATTTTCAAAATCTATCAATACGACACAAAATATTTGAATTTTGATCGAATTGCTGGTAATAAAGAGTAAGATAGATAGCGTTGATAATTTTTATCCTTTTATTTTCATGTGAATTGTAATAAAAATCCCTCTCTACTACGTATTTTTGACTTCATGCCATATGAACCATTCAATAGCGTAACGCTATTGTTGTTTAGCCCGTAGATACCGATTAGCTGGTCAAATGTCGTCAGAGTTGCTGATGAGGGTGCTGTTTAGTAAGATGATATGTGATCACCGGAAGCACAGCTAAAGTATCAAATAATTATCATCTTTATCGCTAGATGGTTAGTTTTGTATATTGAATTATACGTTGGCCTACTTTACAATAAATTATATGTCTGTGATTCGTAATTTGAATGTTAACATGTTATTGTCTTCAAATCAATATGGACGTTAATTACTTAATTGTTGTGGAAAAGTGTGAGAAATAAAAGGTTCCAGTATAGAGAGTAAGGAAAATATGCGGAATGTGTATTTATTAACAACTACTTTTACACTGTAATCCAGACAACAAATGTGTATTTATTAACAACTACTTTACACTGTAATCCAGACAACAAATGTGTTTGTTGTCTGGATTACAGTCTAAAAGTAGTTGTTAATAAATACACAATTGTTGTCTGGATTACAGTCTAAAAGTAGTTGCTAATAAATAAAAAGTAGTTACTAACAAATATACATTTGTTGTCTGGATTACAGTCTAAAAGTAGTTGCTAATAAATATACATAAAAGTAGTTGCTAATAAATATACATTTGTTGTCTGGATTACAGTCTAAAAGTAGTTGTTAATAAATACACATTTGTTGTCTGGATTACAGTGTAAAAGTAGTTGTTAATAAATACACATTTGTTATCTGGAATACAGTCTAAAAATAGTTGTTAATAAATACACATTTGTTGTCTGGATTACAGTCTAAAAGTAGTTGCTAATAAATATACATTTGTTGTCTGTATCGCAGTGTGACTGTAATCCAGACAACAAATGTGTATTTATTAACAACTATTTTTAGACTGTATTCCAGATAACAAATGTGTATTTATTAACAACTAGTTTTACACTGTAATCCAGACAACAAATTGCCCATGTATACAAGTAACAGGTTTAAAAGCTTTATATTTCCAATCTGACTAGCATGTTTCAGAGATTAGAATCAGTGCATATATAGTTAATATGTAAAGAAATAGAGTATTAACTCTTAGAAGTTAACATGATACCTTACGTTGACGAAATACTCTCATGAGTTCTTAGACTAAAATCACAATTAGCAAGATACTATTTTTCTAGTTAGTTCAACTCGGAACAGAAAAGTTAGATTTACTGATCAGGTTGCTTGTTTAACACTTTAACTCAACAAATAATAAGAAACTCCAAGATACCCATTATTATCTCCATTAACAAATTTTATCAGCGATATAACACAGATATCCTAGTTCGCATTTGGACCAATTATTTTTATTCAAACATTTTAACGACGACATAGACTAAAAGTTTTATTTAGAATGATAAAATGCTTTAAAACGACACATATAATATAGTGTTGAGTATTCTATCCTTATTGTTTATATGTATTAATTTCTTATTGACAGTTCGCTACCGTTTCATCAGCTCATTACTCAAGTGAAAAACTTTTTTTTACTTCGTATAGATAGTGAATGTTTCTGTCAATCTTCTCCTGTACCTAAAATAGATCATGAGTTTTATGTTTATGCAGGCATGCCCTGTTAATAACGTTTTACACATTGCATGAAAGTTTTGTGCATACAAGAATTAACTAAGAAAACTTTTGAAAATTGCGCCAGAAATAGAGTTAACATTCCGTAGCTGATAGAATGTCTCCAAAGTATGCTTTACCCCGCAACGATATTTTGGTCTAGCCTCCGGCTGTGCTCGTAGGTCCATCAGAGCAATATAACGATCCTCATTTGCTCCCTCCCAGTCTCCTAAACACAGAAATCGTACATCTGAAATGAAGAGAAGAAAACGCTAATTAAAACATCATATTTACGAAAGAAAAAACGAAGAAAATTAAACAAAATTTGTTGATAACGAATGTCTCAATTCAAATACTACTGAATACAGTAATCGCAATAATCATTTACATAAACATTTTAACTACAGACAAGCCACAGGGTGGCGCTTATCAATTCAAATTCATACTTGTCGTATATACATGTATTAGTTACAGACAATCCATAGGGTGGCGCTTATCAATTCAAATTCATACTTGCATATACATGTATTAGTTACAGACAAGCCATAGGGTGGCGCTTATCAATTCAAATTCATACTTGTATATACATGTATTAGTTACAGACAAGCCACAGGGTGGCGCTTATCAATTCAAATTCATATTTGTATATACATGTATTAGTTACAGACAAGTCATAGGGTGGCGCTTATCAATTCAAATTCATACTTGCATATACATGTATTAGTTACAGACAAGCCATAGGGTGCGCTTATCAATTCAAATTCATACTTGTATATACATGTATTAGTTACAAACAAGCCACAGGGTGGCG